GATTTAAAACTGTAAATATAGATAAAATTATCCCATTATTTGTGAATTTACTATAAGCGTTTAAACAAAGACTAAGACCGTGGCCTAACAGTGTGAAGTTAGGTTTTTAAAGGATATTTTATAATATAACCCAGTGTGTTTTAACCAACTATACGTTATAACAAAACCGTTCAACCAATCTGTACAAAACTTCTCCCTCTACTCCTTTGTTATTATTGGTAGTGCTAATGATAATGCGGTAATAATAATAAGAGTGAAAATAGTATTAATAGTATTTGTGATCATAAAAGAATAATTCGATTACGATTTATATTTTTTATTATTTTTATTATTATACAAAACAATGATATAAATAATATTAATTATAATATGAATAATTGAGTTGCTTCCAAGACACGATTATTACAGGGGGCTCGCTGAAAGTACTGTATATTTAAAGGTTAAGAAAAAGTTAGAGGTAAAAAAAAATTCAAATTAAAGATTTACCAAAAAATATCGTCATTCATTTTGATAATATTTTGGTCAAAGTTAATTTACAACTATATACAGTACATGGTCATCGTTGAAGTGTGCCCAGATTCCAATACATAACTTTTTAAAATATGGACGTTGTTTTTCGATGACCCTGTATTTTTTCACAGTCCTTAAACTAATAATGTTTCACAGATCAGATATTTCTTAAAAGGTATTCTGTCGACTGAGTGTACAACGCCGAATGGTAAGAGATTCCTTTATTGTTTCGTAATTTTCCCACTACAAAAGAAAATGGGGTTAAAATGTAACGTTGTGAGTTGCAAAAACAACAAAACGCAGAAATGTTGCAACTGGTGCAAAGTTTTATTCTACTTCTGGTCAGTGAGGTGAGGGAGGTGGTGGTAAGGGTGGTGAGGTGAGGGAGGTGGTGGTAAGGGTGGTGAGGTGAGGGAGGTGGTGGTAAGGGTGGTGAGGTGAGGGAGGTGGTGGTAAGGGTGGTGAGGTGATGTAATGGTGGTGGCGAGGTGGTGAGTGAGGTGAAGGAGGTGGTGGTGAGGTGGGGAGGTGGTAAGGGTGGTGAGGTGGGTAGTGAGGTGAGGGAGGTGGTGGTGGGGTGGGGAGGTGGCGTAGGGTGGTGAGGTGGTGGGGAGGTGGTGGTGGGGTGGTGAGGTGAGGGAGGTGGTGAGGGTGGTGAGGTGGTAATTGTGGTGGTGAGTGAGGTGAAGGAGGTGGTGGTGGGGTGTGAGGGAGGTGGTGGGAGGTGGTGGGGTGGGAGGTGGTGGTAAGGAGGTGGGGAGGTGGTGGTAGGTGTGGTTGTGGTGGCGAGGTGGTGGTGAGGTGAAGGAGGTGGTGGTGAGGTGAGGGAGGTGGTAAGGGTGGTGAGGTGAGGGAGGTGGTGGTAAGGGTGGTGAGGTGAGGGAGGTGGTAAGGGTGGTGAGGTGGTAGTGAGGTGAAGGTGGTGGTGGTGAGGTGAGGGAGGTGGTAGTGGTGGTGAGGTGTGACCACTGGCACCCGGGCTCCTGATGGGACTGGTCTTGGCACACACGTTGCCTCTTGGCCAATTTCCTCTGAGTCAAACACCACGCTTTTTGTCCTCCGCGACTCTCACCTCCCCAGGAGGAAGCCTGGCGCAGGGGAGCCACCACAACCTTCTTGATGGCTGCTGGGGCAGGCTGCCTAACTACGGTGTCTGTGGGTTCAGAGGCGGCCACTAAGACCATGGAGGTGTTTTAAAATCTCAGCCAACATGTGACCATACTTGGAGTTGTAACGCTGTCATGGTCGTTGCATCCAAGGTCTACCTTGGTTTCATCTAACCGAGATACCTGTACACTCTCAGTGTTCGTCTTGTCACTTAAGCTGTTATACCGTAGCCTTGGCCAATCAATACGAGAGGCTATTTGATCGGAATTGACCACACAAGTTAATTCTCTCAAACCTTAATAATAATAATAATAATTATTATTATTTTTATTATTATTATTATTCAGAATAACATAATTATTACGTGATAGATAATACTGGGGTGACTGAGCCGATTCCTTGCGCCTTCATTCAGGAATTCCCAGTCCACTTCTCGTCATTATAAGTGACGCAACATCCCTTAACGGTTATTTGAGGCAACACGTACAGTATTCAGATGTGTTCATAACTTTATATTGCCGTATTTACTTGTAAATTGTTGTTGTATTACTGCTGAGAAGTACTGTACTGTTGGCTAAAGTATTTAAGCATATTGACGAACTACAGTTGGTCCAGTTACTTAGTAATTGTGTTATAACTGATGATTTTGGTAATTTTCTTTTATTTTCCGGTGGAGTGAGGACGTGTAGTGTAAAAGTGTATTAGGGAGTGTTCAATATTTAGATCATGAATCGTCTCGGGAAGTGGCAACATTCCTCCATTACCAAGATTCCCGAACGGTGGTGACTAGATAGGTAGGAACTAGCAGTCATGGCTGCCAAGAATGCCCACTAGTTAGTAAATCGCTATTTATGGTATTAGAAATAAAGCAAAAGAGCCCGGGGCTGCAGGTGCCAGATTAAATAGGTTAAGAGAAGCGTTTATCATGCTGGACGCGCGCCGCCTCTTGCTGCTGGTGCGCCAGTGTGTCGCCCCACACTCCCTCTCCTCCCTTACTTACTCCCTACCTTCCTCCCTCTATACCAGTGGTTCTCAACCTTGTTTGCCCCATGCACCCCTTTCACCATATGTCAGAATGTCATTCCCCCCTCCTTTCCAAGATTGTCTGCCTCAAAAAGTGCATTCCAAATAATATGCATATAATACTGAAAATCCTTTATTTTTTCCATATTAGTATCAGTTCCCCCCCCCTCCTGAAAACCTGAGGGGGGAAATTCCCCCCTGGTTGAGAACCCCTGCTCTATACCTCCTCCACCAATACTCACTGCCTTTCTTCCTCCTCTCTCTTTCCTTTTCTTGATATATTCGTCTGTTATTTCCTTGTCTATTCTTCCATACCATTTTCCTTCTTTCTAAAGCTTAGTTTCCCTTTACTATTGTTGCTGCTCCTCCCCGTTTTTTAGTCTTTGCATATTTCATCTACATTCTTTTCTGCACAATACATATCGACACACTGTCTCCCTCTCTCGCTCTCTCGTCAGAACATTTAATACAGTAATTTGTCCTGGGAAGATAATGTATTCATATATTCTGTTGAAGGTCAAGGCCTGATGAGAGTTTTTAATTATACAGTATTCGCAGGTGTGTGACTTCACATGTATTTGATATTTTGTGATGAAATTGTCTCGTATATTTTCTTCGTGGAACTTTGTGGTGTACCTCAAATCTTGTTTCTGTATGGTACTGTACCAGAATTTAGATCTTATTTCTGAATGGTAAGAATTTTAAATGATTTGGTTGCAGGTGAAAGTTCCCAATTTTCAACACTGTGTTGGGTTTGTTGTTAATGAATATTGCAATAGTCAGGTGTGAGGTATGATAGGTTGGCAAGATTTAGTGGGTGATTCATAATGCCAGGCAATATCATGTGTCAGAGTTTTCTTATTAGTTTAAAGTTAACTATCCTCCAACAGTTTTGTTTTAATTAGTTTTCTATTCTTGCGCATAACCTCATTCGCAAAGCGAAATATTTTTGTAGAAACTTATCTGGACCTTCCATGGTGCTGCATTGTACAGTACTGTATACCAAAGTTAGGGCATTTCCTTGAGTTAGTCCTAGTAGGAAGTTCTGATATTAAGATTTTTTTTTTTCGATTGAACCGTGTGTGAGAATACATCATGGGGTGTTAAAAGTGACTACTGTTCTAACATCTGAGTTGAGTTCTAGTATGGTTGGAAATGCATAAGAAAGTGTGTGTTGATTAATACAGTTTCAGGTCACAGTCTCCTGACCTTGATTGTGACCTTTGCTCTTGGTCTTTTTATGGAATTGCTTGTGTGTTGCTTTGTTGCATTTACAGATTACAGTACAGTACTGTACTTTTGTAATTTGAACAAGGATGAAAGTTCATTAGATTTACTGTATATTTTCATGTGGGCTGATTCATCATAAATTCATTCAGTTTGTCTTTTACTGTAATTAGATGTTGTCCAACCTGTCTGAAGTCACACTTCACCCATGTAACACTGTAATGAGGCAGCTCTTGAATAAAATGGGTTATATTCCATTAGGTATCACATGAAGAGCTGAAATAAGTATTGTGGATAAAAATTTATCAGGGATATTCCACCTAAATAGCCTATTAAACGCTTTGTGATTTAATCTGCCTTGTTCACTTCAGCAGCTATGACAGTAATGACTTGATAAAATATTCATTACTGTTGTCAAGTTGAGAGTATTTCTTAGAACAGTGACGGTTTCCATTTGGTGTAGTCTATCCTGTGTGTATATTGTACTGTACTGTACTGTATTGCTTATTGCGAGTTGTTAACAGATGTGTTTATTGATTACTACGGTATATCATATTTTAGAATATTGTAATGTACTGTACTTAATATCTTCATTATATTTTTGTAAAAATGAATGACTATTCTGAATGAAAGAAAAAACCTGTCATATTGTCATGTGGAGACTTACCCCCAGGTAAGGAGTAGAACAAAATGGGACTTTAATCAGTAACATGATGAAAGATATTGGGGCTGGAACATTTATAACCTCCTGCTGGGGGAAGGATGGTACAGTACAGTACATATAGGAGTTGCCTTTTCTGTCTGTACTGTACTTCCATTCCTCGTACATCTTTGCGTAAAAGTTATCTCAAAGCTGGATAAATGAATTTTGGCCATGCCTGTGCAATATGCCTGTTAACAAGTTCTATGCATTATCTGATTGAGTACAGTACAGGTATTAGGTGTCATACTGTACAGTACTGGATCTTCACTATGGTATAAAAAAAATTCTGGCTGTCATTAATGAGAGTTGGTGACAAATTTGTAAATTTCATCGTATCATATTTTTTTTATTTCTCCATATAATCTTCATTACACTTCATGTTTTAATATGTTCTTTCATTTTTCTGATGTAGCAACTTTGTTATTTGCAGTGACCGGTTCCTGGCCCTGAAGATTATCAAGAATGTGAAAGTACAGAGAGGCTGCCAAGCTGGAGATTAATGTATTGGAAAAGCTAGCAGAAAGATCCTTACAACAAACAGTGAGTATCATCTCTACACAACTAAGAGATATAGAACTCCGTGTTGACCCATGCCTTTTTAATTTATCTGAATAACATGGTTAAATTCATAACAAAGCACGGATGGACTCAACATTTTTAATACTACAGTACATTTGTTTCTTAGTGTTTGTGAGAGGATTTTCCTATTATTATTTGTGTGTGTGTGTGTGTGTGTGTGTGTGTGTGTGTGTGTGTGTGTGTGTGTGTGTGTGTGTGTGTGTGTGTGTGTGTGTGTGTGTGTGTGTGTGTGTGTGTGTGTGTGTGTGTGTGTGTATGTGTGTGTGTGTGTGTGTGTGTGTGTGTGTGTGTGTGTGTGTGTGTGTGTGTGTGTGTGTGTGTGTGTGTGTGTGTGTGTGTGTGTGTGTGTGTGTGTGTGTGTGTGTGTGTGTGTGTGTGTGTGTGTGTGTGTGTGTGTGTGTGTGTGTGTGTGTGTGTGTGTGTGTGTGTGTGTGTGTGTGTGTGTGTGTGTGTGTGTGTGTGTGTGTGTGTGTGTGTGTGTGTGTGTGTGTGTGTGTGTGTGTGTGTGTGTGTGTGTGTGTGTGTGTGTGTGTGTGTGTGTGTGTGTGTGTGTGTGTGTGTGTGTGTGTGTGTGTGTGTGTGTGTGTGTGTGTGTGTGTGTGTGTGTGTGTGTGTGTGTGTGTGTGTGTGTGTGTGTGTGTGTGTGTGTGTGTGTGTGTGTGTGTGTGTGTGTGTGTGTGTGTGTGTGTGTGTGTGTGTGTGTGTGTGTGTGTGTGTGTGTGTGTGTGTGTGTGTGTGTGTGTGTGTGTGTGTGTGTGTGTGTGTGTGTGTGTGTGTGTGTGTGTGTGTGTGTGTGTGTGTGTGTGTGTGTGTGTGTGTGTGTGTGTGTGTGTGTGTGTGTGTGTGTGTGTGTGTGTGTGTGTGTGTGTGTGTGTGTGTGTGTGTGTGTGTGTGTGTGTGTGTGTGTGTGTGTGTGTGTGTGTGTGTGTGTGTGTGTGTGTGTGTGTGTGTGTGTGTGTGTGTGTGTGTGTGTGTGTGTGTGTGTGTGTGTGTGTGTGTGTGTGTGTGTGTGTGTGTGTGTGTGTGTGTGTGTGTGTGTGTGTGTGTGTGTGTGTGTGTGTGTGTGTGTGTGTGTGTGTGTGTGTGTGTGTGTGTGTGTGTGTGTGTGTGTGTGTGTGTGTGTGTGTGTGTGTGTGTGTGTGTGTGTGTGTGTGTGTGTGTGTGTGACACACATACAGGTTAAGGAAATTACTGTCTCTAGAACGAATGGCTCCCTGTCCTGGCGCGAAAATGCTGGCAACTTTAAAACTACCTAGACATTCTTGGGTACATCCAGGGTGTCTTCTGCTAATAATAGAGGATCGCAAAATAAAAATCTGCAAATTATCCACGTGTACTGTATTTATATACAGTGCAGGGTATTGCAATTCCTGATTCATTTTTCTGCAATTATGTGTTAGTAGTGTAATAATCTAATGAGTAGTTTCCTGTTGTACAGTACAGTATTGATACTATTGATTAAGTCCTGTGTGCTCTTTGTCATTGCATGATAATTGTGACTTATGAAAGCATAATTGAGCAAAAAATCACTTGTTCAGTTAGTGAATAAAAACACTTTTGAGGGACAAGAGAGTGAATATTGAACCAGTAGTTTGAAATCTGTATAATACAGAGCAAGTAATTGATTATGAATAAACAGAAAAGTGTAAATTAACAATGTTAGAAACACCAGTGAATTAATTAAAATAATTGCACAGGATTCTGTGAATAGTTGATAAGTAATCTTGTTGAAAAGTTATAACTGGTTGGTGAATTTATACATAGAACTGTGTGAGATAAAGTTGATGTAAAAGTGACAGGATGTAGTGTGATGAATGTCAATATTCAAACACAGAATCACCATCTGTAAAAAGTAATCTATGAAAACCACTGTGAAAAGTGTGTAATCTGTAAGTATTATAGTAATAGCAAGATAAAGGATGATAATAATATGTGAAAAGTAAACAATGAGTTGATGTATGTCTACAAATGAAAAACAAATTAAACTGTTCATACATGGAGGCTAGTGTTGCCTGGATTAAAAGCATTGAAAAGAGAAACAAAAAATACATGCAAATGCATTTATATCTGAAGCAGTGACCAAAAGTGCATTTTCAGAATTTCAAATCATTATTATATGTTTACAGTTTGAAGCCCATATTTTAGTCTATATTTCTGTATGTCCATCTCTTAACAGTACAATATAACCCTCAGTTAATCCTCCGCCCCTTGTCTGGCTGTCAGTTGGCTCTCTTGTCCAGTATTCTACTCCATCTAACATCAAATACCCATCTTTATATCTCTGATCCATGAGACTGAAGAGAGAGAGAAAATAAAGCCTTGTTTTTCTCTCTCCCTCTCCTCTCCTCATCTTCCCTTAGGTAAATTTCAATACAAGATATTTGCCAATTCAGTCAGTTGTTCCTCTGTAAAGCAGTCATAATGGAATCTTTAGTTTTGTCAAGTTTATATCCTCACCCAAGGCAATATGCACACTCACAGATATGTAGATGTCTTCCTTTATCCGAAATGTCGTTTTTTAACATTTTCTGGACTAACTATCTTAAAAGAAGCTGAAATATAAGCACATTAGACATTTGAATTCAGGAAAATGTGTTGTTAAGGTTGGTATTGATCAGTGAATGATATAAGGTGCTGTACTGTATTACTTTACAGTATATCTATATGAATGGAATTAGTACATTATACAGGGTATTACAGTATACTGTACAGTGGTCCTCGTTAACGAAAGCACAATCCTGCTCACAGGCGTTCGCTAACCAAAATTAACCGAAACCATTGTTTCAGTGGGTTTTGGGGAATTGGTTCCAGCTCACCAAAATTGCCTAAGTTCAACAAAAAGGTAAAAAGTTCACTTACTGAGTGTATGTAGAAGGCTCCGGATGATGAT